CCTCATCTAGTAAGGTTTGAGCCAAATAAATTCCATTGCTTACTATTATCTCTTATTGAGTGTATCCATGCATTATTGGTTTATCATGTTTGAACTATTTCTGATTAAATCTGTCTCGTTTGATTGACAAACACTGAGGCAGTTGTTTTCTTTTAACTTTGAGCCTTTTTAACCACTTAATAGTAATATTTATATCTATTTCTAACCATTTTGAGCTTAGCCTTTCTTTTAGTGACTTAGCCTTAATTATTAGCCGTATGACTTGAAAGATCTTATCTTCCCACTCTCTCTTTGGAGTTAGGTAGAATTGTAGTTCTCAAGTGGTATGAAAAAGATTAAGTTTGGGGTTACTCTTGGAAGTGAGCACAATTTTAAGTTTGGGGTTGTGGTACTAGAGAAAAATGGTCAAAAATTCAAAATTTTGAGAAAATAAGAAGCTGAAAAAAGGAACTTCTTTAAAAAAAATAGAGATTAAAAGAACTCAAAGTGCATAATAAGGACCAGAAAAGTAATATCTTTAGTACCATCAAGAAGGAACAAAGGGGTATGATAATAGAAGGAGAACTAGGCATCTAACTCCAAAGGTTTACACATAATTTTTCAAAAATATACTACCTGAACATAAGCCAAGATACAATCGAAAAAAGACATCAAGTGTGTGTGTTTTGATTTCTTTGACGAATTATATTAGAACATGATCAAACCCAGTATAAACTATTTTACATGTTGATTGAGGGATTATCTTATCCATTAAGTGAGTCAAGGTGAGATGAGAGACAAATTGAGTCCTTGTAAAAGTTTGAGGACATTTTATGAATTTTTCGAATGGGAGTTGGAAGCTAGAACAATGGCCAGGTAAAGAAAAAATTTATATGGTGATTTTCAATTGTTATTGTGCGACTTGTTTTCTGTTTGGAATTGGCAGTTCATGTAAGTTACTTGAGAGCATGCAATGATTCAAGTTCGGGGTTGTGATGACACTCCGTCATTGGATGATTTTAGTCGAAGAAACAGATTAAAACAAGTTAAAGAGGAGCAAAAATGAAGAATAAAGGTCAAAGAAAGAGGAAATAATAACTAAGTGTGGGAAATAGAGACTTAGTGAAAATCATGTGAAAAAGGGAGCAAAAGCGTGCAACTACTGAACTAATCACGTGTAACATCGCGTACACAATAGGGAAGTAAAAGTTGCATCGCGCGCGATGAACTTTTTTCTAGGCTTTTTTGGACGCGTTCTAATCCATTCCGAAGGCTTTTTAAGGGGGAATTTTGGTACTTTTCAAGGGTTCTGCAACTTTACACGAAAAATGGCAATTTACAACACCATAAGGCATATTTGGAGAGCATTTGAAGCCATTAGAGGCCAATTTTTAAAGGGAATTCTTATGCAAACCTCTTATTATTATTTGGTATTGTAATTTGAATTATGAGTAGCTAATTCTCTCTAGGTTAGGTTGTGTTTGATGAACCTATTTTGATATTGTTAGGGTATATGTTTAATTTAATATTGCATGAGTAATTTAATCTATAATGTTATTCAATTTACACCTATTTTTAATCTGGTTTTGGGCATATAGTGAATACTAACCATTAGTCTATGTGTTGGACCTAGGGCAATTGTTGTGCTTACCTTGGTGGACTAGGGATATGAAACTCCGATTAGTGGCTTATGAATTAACTTTATTGTATTGCCTAATCTTGCTTATGCTGGTGGACTAGAGATAGAAAAACCTGAGTATAGATTAGTGAGCTACGTGCCAAGTCTAAGGAAGAAAGGGATAAGATTTTTGATACGTTGGTTCCAGAACGACATACTTATTTCCTATATTTTTTTTGGTTTTTCCCTAAAGTTTCTCTTTTATTTGTAGATATAATGAAATGTGAAGATGTCATACGACGTTGGAAGAGTGAAAATGCCATGCGACGATGGAAATTTCCCTTGTTCAGGGAAGGTAGGAAAGGATGTCCCCGATTCTTGAATCTGAAAAAGTCCAATAAGCCCTTAACCGTGCTTGCGATGGCCTTGGCTTTCTCCGGGGACTGCCTTCTCCGCCGCTGAGCGATGTTGCGGTCGTTAGAGTCCATGTTCAACTGGCGGCATGCCACGCTATGGTCGATGTCGGGCATCTCATATGGAGAGATAGCGAAAAGTTGTGTGTTGGCCTAGAGACATTCAATTAGGGTGAACCTTACTTCAAAGGGAAGCCTGAATCCTATCTTTATCGACCGGGTCGGGTTATGGCAGAGCTAGATCAACTTAAATTCACCGTCTGTAATGGGCCTAACTTCATTCTTTCACGTGTCTATGTCAAACGTATTGGTATTCCTCAAATCTTCTTTTTCTCCTAGCGCTGACATGTGAATGTCTTTAAGTATGAACTCTCTGTTCTGCTTTGCTTCTTCTATATTGGCGCTAACATTGATTGGTCTTTCTTTATTATTGTGATAGGTGTTGAGCATTAAATTATGGTTACTTTGAGTGTGAATAATTAGCACTCAATGACTTTATTTGTTTGTTTTCCATTAATAATCCCCCTTTTTTGTGTACTTTTTATATAGTTTACATATCATTGTATATATTGCATTTTCGTGTACATATCAGTGAGTTTGATAGTTTTTCATATGTTTTATAGGTAATAATGCATGGTTGAATTATGGACCCATTTGGGCTAAGAGGGATGCTTCAAGATGTCAATTTTGGAAATTTAATACTACCATTCGCGTTTAGCGCGACTTTTAGCGCGCTGGGGGAACTAGATGGTAGAGGCATTGTTTTTTATTTACTTATTGTGCTTAGCGGGAGTAGACCGCGCTTAGCGCATTTTATGTTGGTTTAACTTTAAGTGGGATCACGCTTAGCGCGACCTGAAGGCGCATAACTCGCCTGCGATTTTGAGAGTTGTATAAATAACATTCATTCAGATTTTTAGGGGATGGTTTTTGGGGATTTTTTGCTCCCAACTCCATCACCAACATTCTTTATGGAAATAAGCTCAGAAACAACATTAGATTGTGCATCTTGACGATTTGGAGTCGAATTTGCTTCAATCAGCGTTGACAAACCGAGAGATGTTTGTTCTTCTTCCTTCTTCTCTATGTATTTTCTATTTGTTGGGTGTTGTATGTATGTTTATTTTGATTGTATGTATATTTGTTGATCGTTGTATAAAATCTCTTTTACAAATCTTTATCGATGTTAATCTTTGATTTCAATGTTTATCTTATTGGGTTTGGATTGCTATAGACATATACGGTTCGAACTCGATCTAAGATGAGCATCTGTTAGATTTAGGTATAATATTCATGTAGGTATCGGTTCTTAATGCTCCATGTTATTGAGTTGCGCGAGACATCATTGATGAGAGGATACAATTGTTCTCTCGACTTTGTGTTAGACATAACCTTTGTTGTGAGTGGTACATGATGATATTGATGAATGATTTAGGTGGCGTATAATTGATTGATAGATTTTTTAGTACTTGATGAGTAAAATGAAATACATTACCTGATGAATTATTTCCCGTACTTTAATTACATGCTCATATGTTTTTATTTTGGCATTTTACCTTTTAAAACCATTTAAAATCAAGCTTAGAAACGTGGAGATTGTTGAACGATATTCTTTCCTTTGCGCCGATCCTTGTAGAGACGATAAAAACCCAGAGAGATTTTTCCAAATCTTTTGCTTCTTGCCGCTTTACTGCAGTTCGAACAATAGGCTACCTTTAGATGGACCGAAGATGCCCACATCCAACTTTGCCAAGAAGGATCTTCCTAGGATACCTCTAAAGGCACTTCTACGCAAAATTATAAGATAGTTGAAGACTACCTTTCTCTCACACACTCTCTCTCTAATTACCAACGTCAGTTCCGTCGTTTCACTAAGGCGAGTTACCAATCATTAAAGGCCAATAGATCTCCCCTGCGATACAGATCCAAATTTGTCTACTGAAGGCCTAACTATTCTAATGTATCAGCGTAGAAGTCGTTGAACGAACTTTTGTCATCCACGAGGATCCTATCAAGTTTCAATTAACGATCATAACCGCAATTATTTGTCATTAGCAGGAGGCATTCCGATGACTGACAAATACTAAATGTAGTTGCATCGTGGATCTCGTCGATCAATGATAATTGACAGAGAATTGAATTGGATGATGGAGGGAATCTCCTGGACATGACTGACGATATTACCACTTCCACTCCTTCGACTTTCAATAAAGATCTTATTTTAGACCGAAAATGAAATAATGGTACAATTTCATAATACGAAGATTTTGTTTTTAAATTACAAATAAAAAAAGATTATAATAATCTATCCAAATTTTATCCATTATCATCACGGGATTAAAGAGCAATGGATTGTGGAAAAATTTTTATTGACTAGCAGCATTAAGACGTTTAACAATTAAAATTAAAATTAAAATCTTTTCATAAAAAATTAAAACCCTAAAACAACAAAAACAGCTTCTTCATAAAAAATAAAAAATAAACTAACGCAACCACTGCGGCTTAAACCCTGTTTCAGAAAGAAGTTAGCGTCTCCTTGAACTGGCCTGAAAACGCATGTTGAACTAGAAACACTGAACAGGTACCTCCTTTTTTTCTCCAAGATATTTTGCTTCCTCTGTCCAATAGCTACCCTAATCATTATTTTATTTATTTATAAATCTCACACCATTCTGAATTCAACATATTATCAGATAGATATATACTATGATTAGGAGTTTCAATTATTTTTCCTTTGTTCTTTTTTGGCCAAATCGAATTCTCCACCACTAATTGGGAACTTTTGCTTTTCAGAATGCATGGACCAATTTATTAAAAAGTACTTTTAAAAAAAAAACTTAAATTAAAAAAAAGTAAATTGAAAATAAAACCTAGGTAAAGAGAATAAACACAAGTTGGATTGGGTTCAAAGTGCTAACACTGGTTTGGTTTTTTCACAGACATCTTTGTAACCTCATTGCTAGCTTCCAATACAACCTAGAAAGATAACAATGGCGACAAAAGCTTTATCCTTCACCCTATCTCTCAACGGTCTCTTCGCTTCCAAGTCGCCGCACACCGCTTCAAACCATTCCGTTTTCTCTGTCAGATGTTCCGCCGGTAGCCTTTTCTTATCCGTTTTTTCATACGCATGAAAGACGTTATCTTTTTTATTCTTTTTGTTTTTTTGTTTTTGATTTAATGCATGCGTAGGTAATGGAGAGAGACCTTGGAAAAATTCAGATGCTAGGCTTGTGCTTGAAGATGGTTCAATTTGGAAAGCTAAATCGTTTGGTGCTTCAGGGACACAAGTTGGTGAAGTTGTTTTCAATACATCATTGACAGGGTAAGCTCCAAATTATGAATCTTGTGACATTTTTTGTTGTTTTATGGTTTGATTTTAACCTAATTGAGTTTTTTTGTGTTATGTTCCTCAGGTATCAAGAGATTTTAACTGATCCTAGTTATGCCGGACAGTTTGTTCTCATGACTAATCCGCAAATTGGGAATACCGGCGTAAATTTGGGTTTGTATCTATCTACTACCGAGAAAATAATCGATGTATCTGATTAATATAATAGACTGAATATATTGATTTATATTATGATTCTGACTTGGATCCTTGTGCTTGGAGTCTGTTTATAAACCGTCGTTTGATTTGTACTCGTTTCCTGTCAGATGATGAGGAATCAGCGCGGTGCTTTCTTTCTGGTTTAGTAATTAGAAGTTTGAGTATCAGGTTCTTTTCTCATGGTTGGAAATATTTTTCTGTTGATTGAGATTCAGTTTTGTCTATACTCACTCCTTGTCTCTTCCTGTCTCTTTGCAATGGATGTTTTATTCAGCACCTCGAACTGGAGATGTGTGAAAGATCTGGGAGATTACTTGACAGAAAGGAATGTCATGGGAATTTGTAAGTGATTGTGAAGAGTTGTTATCAGAAGAACATTAGACATGAAATCTGATTTTTTTTTGTTTCATTTGATGATGTTGACGGTAATTTGTAATGCAACAGATGATGTTGATACACGGGCAATCACACGCAGATTAAGGGAAGATGGAAGTCTTATTGGTGTTTTGAGCACCGACAATTTCAAAACAGATGAGGAATTAATTCACATGTCTAAATCATGGGACATTGTTGGTAAGGATGTGGATATTGGCCGGGATTACTCAATTTTTTTGAAAACTCGAATTACACGGCTTCTGATTTGTGTATGTAGGTGTTGATCTAATAAGTGGAGTATCGTGCAAGTCTCCGTATGAATGGATTGATAGAACAAAGGAAGAATGGGAATTTAGCTCCGGTGAAGGCCTTAGAGACACTTTCCATGTAAGTTCATACCATAGACTGTTGGTCCTGACTCCATTTTGTTGAATTTCGGGTAATTAAAACAACGTTTCGTACTAATGAATGAAAATTTTTAGGTAGTTGCTTATGATTTTGGAATCAAGCATAATATACTTAAGCGCCTAGCATCTTATGGCTGTAAAATCACTGTTGTGCCATCTACATGGCCAGCGTCCGAAACTTTGAAGTTAAATCCAGATGGTGTGCTTTTCAGCAATGGCCCCGGAGATCCATCTGCCGTTCCTTATGCTGTTGAAACCGTAAAGAATATTATCGGAAAGGTGCCTGTTTTCGGAATTTGCATGGGACATCAATTGCTAGGCCAGGCTTTAGGAGGTACAACCTACAAGATGAAGTTTGGTCATCATGGAGGAAATCATCCCGTTCGCAACCTTCGAACTGGCCGCGTTGAAATTAGTTCCCAGGTATGCAAACCAATGAAATTAAATTCATTTGAAGTTATTTTGTCATGGTCTTTGGATATATTGATTGATACATGAAAATTATCAGAACCACAACTACGCGGTCGATCCTGCCACGCTTCCTGAAGGTGTAGAGGTTACTCATATCAATCTCAACGACAGTAGTTGTGCTGGTCTTGCTTTTCCTGCTCAAAAGCTCGTGTCTCTTCAATACCACCCTGAAGCATCCCCTGGACCTCATGATTCCGACAACGGTGAGATACTTCAAACCTGCACTCTGTATTAAAAGAACTTTGCTGTGATCATCAACAGTTTTACCTGTTTTTACAATTTGATTTTACCGGTTACTGCATTAACTTGAATTTGGATTTGACCAACAACTGCTGTTGTGTTTTTTGATAATGCAGCTTTTGGGGAGTTCATAGAGCTAATAAAGCGCGGAAAAAACAAAACACCGAGCAAAAGCGTGCACGAACTACAATCGGTGTAATAATCATTAAAGCGAGCTGATAAAAGCTCAGGTTTGTAGTAATATTGATGGATGTTTTGTAGATGAATAAGGGCTTCCTTGTTTGCTGTTAAGATTTTCTTGTGTCCATTTTCTGAACAAGGGTTAGCAAGCAGTGATTTTCATAGCCTTCATTGAAGGTTAATGTAACTCAATTTAGTTCCAGAACTATGTTTCTTAGTTTCCTATTATTATTATTATTATTATTATTATTATTATTATTATTATCTACAATTTGAGATATTTAGATTGAAATTTCTATCATTTATTACAATTGAGCTTGCTATTTAACATGTCTTATGATTCATTCGAACAGTTACTTTTCAAATTCAAAACGTGTTAAACAACTTAAAACACACAAATGAGCGCTTAATCAAAGAGCATGCAACCAAATCAACTCAACCTTTTTAATCTAACAATAAACCAACAAGAATACATGCAAGATTGATGGCAAGAGAAAATGGAAATGCCTATACATTGGTTGTTGTTGGTCAGAGTTGAGACAACAGGAGTGGTCAAACTAGATGATGGTGTGACAGAGAAGTTTATGGTGTAAATATTTGATATTTTAAAAGTAATTATTTACTAGCATTTTAGTTAAATGATAATATTACCTTTTTTTTTAATTTTTATTTTATTTATAATTTTGATTGCAATAGTGTTCTATTATTTAACCACTTTCTCTCATATACAAATATCAGTACCACATCTAGAATATACAACTTACAACTTTCTACATGTACTTATTCATTAGACATTCAATGTAACAGTATTGGTTCAGAATTCTATATGATATTAGTATTCTATATGGTATCAGTATTGGTTCATCTTAGGGCTACTCTACACTTTTCTTCTTGAATGTAGTCTTGTTCCGGCCATGGTTTTATACACTTCTCAACTCTGCATCCACCAGATGACTCCTTATCCATTGCGACCCTCTGTCATGAAATCTTCTGGTGAGCACGCTGGTTATTTTCCTGCAGTCGCATTCCTCCTCACAAACCACTCTAGCCAAAAATTTCCAATGTCGATCACCACAGAGCCTCCTCTTCCACATTCTAATACATTTTTCATCATTTTGGTGAATTTTCAGCACTTTTCTCCTGTCATTTCCACATAGATAGTCATGTCTAGGTTCAAATTTTCTGCATCTTTCGCTTTCAATTTCACTATGCTTTCTTTGATTTGTTGCATAAATTTGGTATGTGGTGCCAATGATGTTGTTGAACTTTGGTTTGAAGGATAAGGTCCTGAGGATCCTTTGCTCAAATGACAAAAGGATATCGCAACCAAGGATCAAGCTAATTGAAAACATGTTAAGGTCTTCCTCTACAATGTTCTAATGTTCTTTGGTATTCAATTGATGTCAACCTTCATTCAGTTTTATTCGTTTAAGACGTGTTATGGCATTTGGGTATAGGTGAAAACATTTATTCTAACAATGTTAATCATTTGTACAATGTTTGAAGGGGTGAGAAAAATACAAGAAAGGGGGTGAATTGTGTTCGGCTTTTCTTTCTTTTTAAAATTCTTAAGTCGTATTCTAAACACAAGGTTATAGAATCTGAGGTAGTTAGCGATAGGCAACAGATATAGTAAGCAAGAAAAAAGAACAACACACAGAGTTATCTTAGTTCTTCTCGCAAATCGAGAGTAATCCAATCCCCTTGTACTTACAAAATATTTTCACTATAATCACACAAGATTACAATTAACTCAAGCACACAAACAAGAGACTTCGTTTGCTCTAACGCTCAAGTAAGAGACTTCCTTGCTCAAGTACAAAAGCCCAGGACTTCCTTGCTCACACACACATGTATAAGACTTCATTGCTTAAGCACACAAGCTCAAAACTTCTTTGCTCACACACACGAGTATGAGAATTCCTTGCTCAAAGAACACACGCTCAAGACTTCCTTGCTCACTCACACAAGTATGAGACCTCATTGCTCAAGCACACAAGCTCAAGACTTCCTTGCTCACACACACATACACACACAAGTATGAGTTTTTCTTGCTCAAGCACACAAACTCAAGACTTCTTTGCTCAAACACACAAGTATGAGACTTCCTTACTCAAGCACATAAGCTCAATACTTCCTTGCTCAAACACTTAGTAAGAGACTTCTAAAAATCTACCTAGTATATAAATGTTTATTGGGTGAATACACTTGATATACAATCAGATGTGTATAAATAATACAATGCAATTGGACTCTCTTAAGACTTGTGGATTTCTAAGATATCCAAGGATAAGAAATCATAAGTTTAGCTTGTGCTAAAACTTTGACAAAGTAACTTCTCTTTGGTTGTCAATCGTTGTTTAACATGTATGTGTGTATTCCATTTATTGTGTGTATTGATCTTCAATTCTTTTTGTTCCTTAAATAATGAGGAAAACAGTCATTGAAGATGCAACAATATAGTCCTTTAATAAGCTTCAAAAAAGACGTTAGGATGTTTCACTAAATCATAAGGTTAGGTGAAACCTGGTTTGAAAAATCTTTGCTACAAAAGAAATTAACAATTGTATTCCAGTAGAATCTATGAAAAAAACAAGAGCTTAGGTCATCACGTGATAAAGTGTGTTCGAAGATGAACAATGACCTATCAGTGTCATCTTGATTCTTACGCTTTGACTAGCTCAAGTTGTGATCACCAGAAGCAGGCTTCTCTAAAGTCTGTTCTCTAGCGACTGACTCCTTCAAAGTCTGATCTTTCAATGCTGACCTCTTTGGAAGATGATTTTTTTAGAGTTAGTTCTTCAGTTTATGATACATCAGAATATGATCTTCACGCTTCTCTTTGGATGTTCAGAGTCAGAACCAGTACTTGAATTTAATATGAATTTTAATCTATGGTCCTGCACACTTGAATAAACATTAGTATACCTCATTGTTCTTTAAATACTTTATTATCATCAAAGTCCAAGGGATACAAACCAATTTTGTTCCAATAATGTTGTCCCTAATCTTATTTGAAAGAAGAAATAGGATGTGGGTATGCAAATATATATGGGGAAACTTGATAGTTTAATAACTAATTTTGGTTCATTTATGCCTTTTACTCACATTATCGATAAACATGTATAATAATGTGGAAAATTCTTAGGATTCTGGCATTTGTCGATCTTACAACAGACCTTGACTCAGTTCACAATCTAGTACAAATATCCTCTCATATGAAATTCTTTGTGAGTATCTATTGTGGATTTGTGTGCTTGCAGGACTGTAATCAATGTGTTGATCATGGTGGATTTAATGATGACTCGGATGTTCGATGTGATCCTATTTCTTGATCATGTTGGTTCATGGTAATATCTTTCCAACTGTCTCTGATGACGATGCACCTCTTGAAGTTATCTCAAGCTTTATCAGGGAGAAAATCCAAGATTTCAATGAATTGTTAAAGTCAAAGATAATATAGTAAGGAACTTGAAGCTTCAAAGTTGTGAAAGGGAGGAAGTGTGAAAGCTTGTTTGGTTGGTTGCGCGCTTAGCGCAGTGTCTAAGTGACCAGGGTATTATAAAAGTGTTAGAGTAACTCATAAGTTACTAAGAAAACTCTCACACACTTACACAACATTCTTGAGGTCCCTTTTATTTTGTTAAGACCACAAAAAAATATTGTGCAAATACTAGTTGCTTAAAGATTAAATAATCCATAATGAGTAAAGTTCACACTAGATAATCAATCAAAAATTAGGGTTACTTAATTATCTCTTTTTAACACCTCATAATCGATTATTAGGGCTTATAATTGACTAGTGGCGACCCAATTTAATTTTTTCCTCTAAATTTGAACTACATAATCGATTATGTAATATGCTTAATCAATTATGAGTATTAAAAAGCCTATGAATCGTTTTTCTTTTTGAGTTATATTTTCTCCTATATAAGACGAGTGTTTCCCCACTTTCATATACACCACATTTAAGATTTTAAACATCATTTTCTCTTTTAAAAACTCCTTCTCCCCCTCTCTCTCTCTCTCTCTCTCTCTCTCTCTCTCTCTCTCTCTCTCTCTCTCTCTCTTCATTTTCCTTTATTTTTTCAACCGTACTAACACAAATTATATTTTGAGTAATAAACTTTTAAATTAATCACGAATTTTAAATACCACAATACATCCCTCCTCTTGTGCTTGAAACCACTTGTTCAACAAGTGATTTCAGAGTTTAACTCTAGTTATAGACTAACCGTCCTAAGAGGAAGAAAATTATTTAAGGAGGTTTACTAAACAAACTCACACCATTTAATGGAGAAGGGTATAGTTTGTGAAAAGATAAAATGATAATCTTTATTGTGTGAAAGAATCGTGGTATTTAGAAGCTTGTGAAAGAAGATCTATTTGTTTCCCCACATGAAGTAAGTGGTGTTGTGGTGAACAAAGACAATTATCATTGTACCAAAGATGAAAAGGAAAAGGTGCAACACAAATTAAAAGCAAAAAACGATCATCACTACCACTCTCGGTCTTGATGAGTTTTTGTGGGTTTCCCGCTGTAAAATTGTAAAAGAAATGTGAGATACTCTCCAAATTACCTCTGAAGGTATTGTTAAGGTAAAAAGGTCGAGGTTGAACACATTAAACCATTAGTATGAACTCTTCAAGATAAAACCTAGAGAGAATATTTATAACATGCAAAAACGATTCACTCATATTTTGAGTCACATGAGAACGAGAACACTTGGGAAAACTTTTCAAAATGAGGAGTTGGTTGTAAAATCCCTTAGATCCCTAAAGCATAGTTGGAAACCAAAAGTCATTGTGATATCTAAATCTATGGACTTATCAATCATAGACATAACAACTTTATTTTGTAAATTGCAAGAACACGAGATGCAGCTGAAGAGACTTATTAATTATGATTTTATTTTATAAATTGTTACAAGCCAAAATTTTATCAATGAAGCTGGAATAACTCAGTTGGTTAGAGCGTGTGACTGTTAACCGCAAGGTCGGAAGTTAAACCCCTCTTCA